GAGCTTGCGCTCCCCCACGCCGCCTCGACCAGAGAGGCCGCCACGATACAAGCCAGGCCTGTTCATCCAGGCGAGAGGCCTGGACAGCTGTCACTCTTCTTCACCCAGCAATACTGACATGCAGGCCACTGAGTTGCTCTGAAACACGGGCGCAAGGCGGGTTGGGATCGCACCCGGTCCTCTTGCCCTCCCTTCTCTTGCAACCACGTCCTTTGTTTCCTTCGGCTGTTCTCCCTGCCATCCTGCCCCCCCACCCCTGCCCCCCAGTCACAGCAGTCCCTTCTTCTCATCAACCTCCCCTCTTTTAAAGCCCACCAGTGCCATCGAAAGCTAATAAGCCATTCACGCAAGGAGCCCTGCAACAGGAAAAACAAACTCCTCCCAGCACATTCGCCCAGGATGGGTGTTACCCTGTTCACACACACACACACACACACCCCAAAGGGAAGCTGGTCCCAGGTGACCAGAAGCCCCTGCCAAACCAGGGGCCTGCTTTTGAAGTGTGCTCCTTGCAGGAGTGGACACAGCTAAGGACTGGCCGCAGGGCAGGGCAGGGCAGGGCAGGGGTACCCTGACGGCCTTTCTGGGCAGGCGGGGTGGGGCCTCTCCCCCCTCTCCCAAAGGTGGGAAGCAGCAGCCCCCGTCCCTCCATTTCTCTGTTAGCAGAGGCAGAGGCTAAATGCCATTGGCAGCACCCACAACCTGGTCTCTCTCCAAAGGCCAGGAAGGGCCACAGAGGAGCGCCAACCCTCCGCAAGGGTGAGAAACGTTTACCTTTGGGCAGAGCGGGAGGCTCCAGCCGGCACTCCTCCGGTCACCTGTATACAAAAGCAAGGCCCTTCCGCAGCCCCCCACCCCACCCCACCCCTCCTCCAAAAGGCCCAGGGACCAGGCTTTGCTAAAGGTACCACCCGTGACCCATTTTATTAATAGGCCATTGGAATGAAACAAAACGGATCGATCGAGGCAAGCCGCAGCAGAGGACGCCGGGCGTCCTCCCTTTCCCCTCCCACTCAGCTAGCGCTCAGCCACGGCAGCATTTCCACCCTTCAACCATCTGCTCACCCAAATGTTGGAAGTATTTTAAAAAGCCACCTCCGCACCACTGCCCGCGCACCCTCCCAACAAGCGCTGGGCTCTCTGCGGTAGGGAGGTTTGCAACACGGGAGGGAGGCTGCTGCTGCCGGTGGGGGATGCTTTCCAAACCCCTGGTCTGTTCCATGGCGCCAATGCTCCCCCAATGCATTCCTGGAAGCTCCAGGGCCGGACCGAGACTCCCTGCACAACATGAAATGCCAGGACGCGGGTGAAGGCGCTGCCTCTCGCACGACACCCGCGGAATCACAGGGAGCAGCCCCACCTTTCAAAAACATGTCGGTCTGCGTGCCGGAAACCCGGCCAGCTCCACCGCGGCAGCAGCAAAGGAGCCAGGAGAGAAGCCCTCTTCCGAGAGGCCCCCTTACCTCTGCCACAGAACCGCCTGGCCCCGATCCACCACCTGTGGTGCTCCTGCAAGAGGCTGCCTTGACCTTGGCGGTGCTTTTCGTGGGGCTCTTCTTCACGCTGTCCCGGAGGTTGGTGAACCGGCCCCTGAGCTTTGAGGCCACAGGCACAGGGGCCGAACTCAAACCGGCCTCCCCAGCGGGCATCTGCAGCGGCTGGCGCGGGGGACCCAGCGGAGCCTCTGCCCAGGCGCTCCCTTCGCTGCCAGCCAGGCCCAGGGTCCTCGCTCGGCAGCCATCCGGAGGCCCGCAGCCCCCTGTGCACATGGGGCAGGAGGCTCTCATCGGCGGAGCTGGCTGGGCCACTCCACAACACTCCAGACAAGGACGGACTGGGGCAGCGACGCCGCAGGGTGTTTCCTGGGGCCGCCAAACCCAGAAACCCCTAAAGTCGCTTTCCCAGCCTCGCGCTCGCTGTCCAGAAAGAGGAAGCCTCCCACTGGCCGGGAGGTGGCCAGCCTCTTGGCTAAGCCGGCACAATCAATGCCTTGCAGAGGGCGGAGGGGACGCGCTGAAGGTCGCCCGGCCTCGCCGCTGCCTGTGAGCACCCATGGGGCAAAGGAGACCACACCCGATCAGTTTTGAGAAAGGACGGCACTAAAAGACCTCTTGAGACCCATCGCAGCCCCCCAGGGAGATGCCATCAAGGGCGAGCTTCTGTGGGAAGGAGAAGGCCTACCCAGATGACAGAAACGCTCCACCGGAGAGCAGGTCAGACCGCTTGCCACCCTCCTCAGCAGAGGAGCAAGGAGGTTCCAGATCGGTTCCCGGCCGGGAAAGCCTTGGAGAATACCCTCTCCAGACCCTCGGGTTCTTCTCTGGTTGGGCTTTGAAAGCTGGGAAAGAACCCTGAGAGGCTTCGGGCTCCCCCCACGGCCTTAACTTGGCTCCCTCTCAGTCCCATTGGAAGCCCGGTGGGCCCTTTCTTCAGGCTGCTCTGCAGACCCAGAGACAGCCTGGGGGCCAGACGTGGGTGGGGTGGACCCAAGCTGGCTGAGGTGTGAGAAGTGGGGCAGTAGGTTCTTTTCAGAGCCACTGGGGAGGGGAGGGGGGTGTGTGGTCTCAGACGATAAACGTTTTTCTCCCTCTCTGACTTTCCTGTCTCTGCTCTTCTGCCGCAGGTTGTCCGTTGTCTCTGCGACGGCACATCTGGAATTAGCAAAGGGGGGGGGAAGCTGCCTCCTGTCCCAGAGCCCCAGAGAGCCCCAGGCGCCCCCCCACTCCCACCTCCTGGCTCAGGCGCCCCAATATCTCCCTGCCTGGCTGCCAGACACCACAGCTACAGCCTCGCTGATACCCTTGTGGGTCTCCAAGCTGGCTTTCAGGGTTCAGCCTCCACCCTCCCGGCCTGAAGCCGGCTCACACCTCTGACCGGCTCTGTGGCTCTGCTTCCCATCTCAGCCCCCTAATTTGGATTTGCCCAAAGTGAGTGGTCTCTGCTTCTTTTTCAAACTAAGGAATGCTGACGGTCCCTCCCGTCCGGGACACTTGGCACAGCGAGGGAGGAGGCCGTCCCTTTGCCCTCCACCCAGAAGCCACAAGGGAGGGCCTGAAAGTGCAGGAACGAAGAGGGAGCCGGGGCAGGCAAAGAGGAAGGCCCACCCTTGCTCCTCCAGAGTTCAGAAGCCAGGCTCCCACAGCCCCTGCTACCCAAGGCCATCGCCCCAAAGGGCGGGGGGGGGAGGACAGGACCCCGAGTGGGATGGGGGGGAGAAGCTGCCCACCCAGAGCCTGGAGCACTCTCGCAGGAAACGGAGGAAG